TCACCCCCCTCAGCTTTTACCATTATTGATTTAACTTTACATCACTACCCTGCTAAAGTAAATACAAGTGGTTCTGTACAACTCTATCAGATAACAAAGTATATTACAGATCCATGTGAAAAAATACTTTAGGTCATATAGAGCCATCAGTATTGATTTAAGCAGAGTATTTTGAAAGTTAAAAGTTGGTTTACTGTTACATATTGAGAATGATGAGAAAAGAACTCTCTACAGACCTAAGGGAGATAGTTGTCCAGAAGCAAAATTCTGGAGAAGGTTATAAATCAATTTCAAAGATTCTTAATTTGCCATAAAGTACTGTAAAATCAGTTGTGATGAAATGGAAAGCATATTACACTACCTCAACCTTGCCAAGATCAAGTCGCCCTAAGAAAGTCTGCATTCAAACAAGCAGATAAATCATCAGAGAAGCGACTGTCAAGCCAACAGTGACACTGAAGAAGCTGCAGACTTTAATAGCAGCAATTGGAGTTACTGTACCCACCTCAACATGATCACGTACCTTACACAAAAAGGGCTTGTATGGCAAGGTGGTAAGAAAGAAACAACAGTGCAAAATATACACAATTGTTGGAGGTAAACCTGAAGTCAGCAGAAAACCTAAAAAAACTCAGTCGAAGGTTTACATTTCAACAGGACAATGATCTCCAAATACAGAACGAAGTCAACCCAAGAATGGTTTTGGAAAAACAATATTAAAGTCTTTGATTGGCCAAGCTAAAGCCCAGATCTAAATCCACTCAAAAATCTTTAGAGAGACTTAAAATTGTTGTGCATAAAAGACATCCTTCCAACTTACAAGAACTGAAGGATATCTGCAAGCAAGAGTGGGCAAAAATATCTCCATCATACTGTGCAAAACTTGTGGTGAGTTATCCAAAATGACTTTCAGCTGTCATTGTTGCCAAAGGAGCTTCAACCAAATATTAACTGCATAATCATAATAGGGGGTGAAGACTTTTGCAACATGTGTTTTCAAGATTTATTTTTGTTATATCACTACAGTGAATAATCTTTGTAACCATCAGAAACTTGTATGAGATTAATATAATAAATATTTTTGGCCATTTGAGTTGTCTTTCACAAGAAAATAACTAGAATTGATTACCAGCACAAGGGTGTGAAGACTTTTGCAAGGTACTGTATGATGCAGTGCTACATCCAACACTTGGTGGAATCTGCAGTTGTACATCAGGTCTGCAGTAGGAAGGGCTTCATGCCACTGACACCGACAGAATGCCAGCACCCTACTCTCAAAACCGAGTGGTATTGTGCACAAGGAGGAGGACAAGCCTCCATGGTCCACCGCCCCAGCAGCTAGCACTGATGATGTTCCCCAATGGAAGATGGAAATGTGCAGCCAGAAACATGGTAAGGTGACAGATCTGATGTGAAGAAAACACGAAAAAGGCAACAATCATCAGGAGAAAGGGAAGAAAACACCAGGTGAATGAACTGGCAAATTCAACCCTAAAGGGAGATGAGAAAAGGTCATAGGAGAGGTGAGGATTTCATGGAAGAAACTAATGGACTCAGGACCACAGAAGGGAACAGTACGTGTCATATACCCTTGGAGAGCCCTGATTGGGGAGAGATTGGAACAGTCAAGAGGGGCAGAGGTGGAACATAGGAAACTGGAGATAAGTACAAAACACAACATACCTGAATAACAAATCCACCAAAGGATAGAGAGATCTGGGCAAGTTCCCTAAAATGACATGTAAGTAAGAGGCATATTCAAGAGGGGGGCTGTCCAAATCCAAAACTAAAAGATCACTAAAAACCTTGTTAGGACAATCATCAGTGTGTTCTGATTGTTGCATGAAATTGGTCAACTGCCATGTTTCATGGGCCGAGAATCGTGGTTTCTGCCCTTTGGATGTGACTGTTAATTCCTCTGCCTCAGTAAGAGCAGTCATAGTCATGATCACCCAAAACTGTGAGTGCATAATACCAGAAATTGAAAGAGGCAAGAAGATAAAATAAATCGTAGCTCTCCAAGAAACAGAACGTAAACATAAAGTAACAAATTAACTGAAATAGAAACCCAAGAAAGTAAAAATATGTGGATAGGTTAATTAAACCACAAGCAAAAAACACATCAAATCAGCAGAGCTGCCAACAAAGAAGTTATTAACATGTGCACGATTAGAGAGGGCACTAGTTATTATAGGGGTAGTGTTGCACTCCTATTAGTGGAGGGTTGCTGCATGATCATTTGCATGTTAGTATGCAGTAATAAGTGGGAGTAGCAAGGCTAGTGGCAAGTAAACATTTGCACTGATAGAAGGCAGTACAATTCGAAACAGCTTTTTGTGAGAGGAGGTAAGATATCATATCAGAATATACTATACAATGTGTAAAAAGTAGCATGTGACATTAGATATCAGGATAGAACATGGCTGTTTTACCAGCATCTTTTACTGAAGCAACAAGAGTTTGATCATAATTAGCCTGTGATGAAGTCATGCCATGTGTTTTATTTTATGCATTGATCCTTAAGCTTTTTGATGTACTGTTGTCTTTCTAGTTCCATTTTGTTTGCTATGTTATTACATTGTTCCCAGCTTCTTACACTATAATGTTGTATTCATGGAGCATTACAGTTTGATGCATGGAAATGCCTTAAATCACATTGTATAAAGGTATATTTGAAATTAATATATAAGAGCAACTTAACTGCTACAGGAACATCATGAGAATGTGTTTTTTATATAATGTGAGAAGTTCCAATCTGAAACCACACCAGTGTTTAATATTGGACGAGGAGGTGGTAAACCAATAAGAGAAAAAACTGAATATGCACAGACGGGCCTCACAAAATTTAGAAGTTCCAGGCCCCATCAAAGTTAATATTGCCCTGCATACAAACGTTAGATACATATAAATGTATCTATGCACATACTCAAATTCAAATATACATACACATGTCCATACATTGTGTGTGTGTGTGTGTGTGTACAGGAGGTCACACTATACGAACAAAAGGTAAGAGAATGAAAGAAAGTTGTTCAGCGGAAGGACTTTAGGACAGAAAACCAGCATACGGGAAGGCTATAATCTTTGGTAGTTTCTTAAGAATGTACCAGAAACATGAGCCTCTTGTATACATTATTTTACATGAAATGGCAGGATTTGTGCAGTTGTTTATGTGCAGATTCATTACAGTTTAGGTTATAGAAACTAATTAAGAAAAAGAGCTATTGAAGACTGAAGTCAGCAAAATAGATAATAAACTTTTAGTGGAACAATCAGGACATTAATAACACCTAAACACACTTAATTAAAACATTTTGCATCGAGCCAAGAAACCACTAAAGAATTTTGTCACGGTATACTTATGGGATTCAGATGTAATGGTAGATATTGGTTATTAAGGGGTTATGGTTAGATTTTGGCTATTCAGATGTAATGGTAGATACTGGTTATTCAGATGTAATGGTAGATACTGGTTATTAAGATGTAATGGTAGATACTGGTTATTAAGATGTAATGGTAGATACTGGTTATTAAGATGTAATGGTAGATACTGGTTATTAAGATGTAATGGTAGATACTGGTTATTAAGGGGTTATGGTTAGATTTTGGCTATTCAGATGTAATGGTAGATATTGGTTATTAAGATGTAATGGTAGATACTGGTTATTAAGATGTAATGGTACATACAGTATCTACCATTACATCTTAATAACCAGTATGTACCATTACATCTGAATAACCAGTATCTACCATTACATCTTAATAACCAATATCTACCATTACATCTGAATAGCCCAAATCTCTAACCATTACATCTTAATAACCAGTATCTACCATTACATCTTAATAACCAGTATCTACCATTACATCTGAATAGCCAGTATCTACCATTACATCTTAATAACCAGTATCTACCATTACATCTTAATAACCAGTATCTACCATTACATCTTAATAACCAGTATCTACCATTACATCTTAATAACCAGTATCTACCATTACATCTTAATAACCAATATCTACCATTACATCTTAATAACCAGGTTATTCAGATGTAATGGTAGATACTGGGTATTAAGATGTAATGGTAGATACTGGTTATTCAGATGTAATGGTAGATACTGGGTATTAAGATGTAATGGTAGATACTGGTTATTCAGATGTAATGGTAGATACTGGTTATTAAGATGTAATGGTAGATACTGGTTATTAAGATGTAATGGTAGATACTGGTTATTAAGATGTAATGGTAGATACTGGTTATTAAGATGTAATGGTAGATATTGGTTATTCAGATGTAATGGTAGATACTGGTTATTAAGATGTAATGGTAGATACTGGTTATTCAGATGTAATGGTAGATACTGGTTATTAAGATGTAATGGTTAGAGATTTGGGCTATTCAGATGTAATGGTAGATATTGGTTATTCAGATGTAATGGTAGATACTGGTTATTAAGATGTAATGGTAGATATTGGCTATTAAGATGTAAACATATTTAAGATACTAAAAATAACATCTAAATTACTACACTATAAGACGTGACAGATAATCAAGAAAATGACAACATCCAAGTCACTGTAATTACAGCAATATAAAGCCTTATGTGAAGTTAAGATATTAATAACACCTGAAATACTCTGCTCTTCAAAGTAGAGAGCTTTAGATATAATCAGAAGATTTATAACACCTAAATTACTACATTCTTCACACTATATAACTTGACAGGTAGTCAAGAGACTGATAACATTAAAGTATTTTTATTTAACAAAATACAAGACTTAAGGTGTAGTAAAATAGTTTAATAACAAATACACAAACTACAAGACTTCAGTACAGACATGATGCTTAAAAAGTTATAATACGATAAATCAGGAAAGCATACTTTTTTTATTTTTACGAGACAATGTAGCTCTGTGTATTACACTACATTGTTAGGTATGCCCCTTAGAAAGTGTATTACTGAAATCCAAGATATTTTAGGTTTCTCAGTTCTTACACTGATTCCCAGTTTGGAAGAATGTCGTTAGTCCACACTTTTGTTGCCTGCACCAGTTTATCTTCTAGCTTCCTCTGCTGTTGAATTTGTTTCTTTCTCGCTTTAGCATCTTTCAGTTCTATGATTTAAAGCAATAAATACACGTCAATAAATAAAATGCAAGATTTCTTTAAAACTCAACCAAAGGTACTGCTCAAAATTTATAATGACATACTGCCATCAACGGTATTTGGTTTGCCATTGGTGGTGGTATGTCTGGTAGTTCCATGAAAAGTTAAACTTTATGTTCTTTCAAATATATCAATTTTCTATTACACTAAAATGAAACTTAGATGTTAATTATCATAAACAATGAGTAGAAAATGTATTTAAAACACTTTAAATAAATTAACATTTGAATAATAAGCCTAATTATGTAAGATAACCCATTTGTGAAAGTAAATTAAGTCCAGAAAATGCTATGTATGCGGTTATTAGTTTTCAAAGTATATTTGTTTGTGCACTAACCATTTGTAAGTATTAGTCAGTAAAATTATGTTCAACTCAGTACATTAATCTCACTTTTAATTAATGTTAGGCAAATCACTGACAATGCTGGGAACAGTGTTACTTACAACAACTGGTCTGTTGAAGAATGCATTGATACAGATCAAACACAATACCACATGTATGTAAATTGTGGGACGAATGTAAAACATTACGAGTTCCATCAATATACTTCTTGAAGTGAATGATACTAGTATTTAATCTATTTCCTTAGAATAACAAGAAATAAATTATAAACTCATGATTTGCTTTAATACAGTTTTGTGTAAACATTTCGTCCAAAGTGGGAAATAACATATTTGCAATTTTTTTATTCCCAGCAGTGAATTTGAAAATAATTCATTCCACACTAGTTTTTGACCCACGATGTCATTAAGAACAATAGCTTTTGGAAAAGCAGTTAACCTCATTGGGCAATTCTTATATTCAATCGAACATTCCTAATGATATCAAAGTCATTCTTCAACTTTCGTAGTGAAATATTTTTAAACAATGTTGTAACTCAATATTCACCAGCTTCTCTCAAACAAAACTACTGTTATTTCAAAGCAAGTCAGTGGAACTACAGCTCTGACAATGAACCTATAATGAGCAAGGGATAGTAGTCTTATTTGTTTAAATTGAAGAGCTGGGCATACTTCAGGTACACCTTCTGAGAAAACAGTACTTGATGCATCAATGAAGTTAATGGTACACCTTCCGAGAAAACAGAACTTGATGCATCAACGAAGTTAATGGTACACCTTCCGAGAAAACAGAACTTGATGCATCAAACAAAGTTAATGGTACACCTTCTGAGAAAACAGTACTTGATGCATCAACAAAGTTAATACAGAAAGTTAACGAAAAAAGAAAGGAATTTTCTCTTAGAAATTTTCTGATAATTTACAAATTGCATATTTGCCACATAATTTGAAAACCTTGTTTTTTGTGAATTATTTTTAAAAAACCACTATTAATCAGTGTGTAAGTTATTTAGCGTATCTCAAAACAAAGTTTTGAAAGTTAACATGCCCAATGGTTTTGCAATATAATTAGAAACTAATGTCCCATACATAGAGAAGAATTAATTGGACAGATCATACTTGAAAACATAAATATTATAGGTCTACAAACAGATGTACTCATAAACATTTTTCCTTAGGTTCAAAAATAAATATAATCATTATATACCACCCTCACACTGTAGCTATAACTATCAGAATTTAGTCATTAACTCTCTCGTTACAGGTTTGCTCAAATTGGCTGAGTTCGTGACCCCAATTTGACATTTATAGTTTTAATACTATAACTTCTAATATGCTCTGTGAATCTTCATGAACTTTCACAAGCTTTCAGTAAAAATTAAGCCCTTTGACTCCATATTTATTCAAAGAGAAATTTTTGGTGAAAAAACTTCACTAGAAATTCGGATTATTTTGTCTACAAAAATTTGATGCTCCGAGTGCAAAGTAATTTTCATATTAAGATTAAATATACTTTTCTTCATCTGAAAATTGTCAAATTTTATTTGCATAATCTCTAAACCTCCTAAATTAATTTCAAACTTTTTTACTGATTTAAACTTTATATTTTTCTACCCTAACTTTATTCTAGGTTGATCAATTTGAATAACCTCGTAGTTGCTATAAAAATATATGAAATAAATCTAAATTACCCTTATTTTCTTTCTACAATGACTTCATATTGTAACATGAAACTAAAATTTTTTTATCCTAAATAGCATAAATCTTGTAACAGTACACATCTGTTTCTACTTAAATTTTATTGTTTATTGCCTTTTGAACTGCATCTAAATAATAATCCTGCACCACAAGTTGTAAATCCCTTAGTGAACATGTAGCTCACATTATGCCACTGAATTATGTAAGGCATAGGCTAATCATGAGCTGTTTGTAATCATATCTTGTCAGAATTGTTTTTTCTTTACCTTACCTAATTTAACCTTTTCTAATTTTAGTTACTTTTATAATAATAAGTAAAGAATACAGAAGAAAAACAAGAAATACAATACCTGGATCTTCTTTTTCCTTGCTGTCAACTGTCGATGAAACTCAACCCTACCTTTTTTTATATACCAATGGTACTACTAAGAAAAATACCTTTTTATTTAATTAAATAATGCACCTAAGAATACAGAATAATAATACGTAAAAGGCATACAGTATATACCCTGGCAGGCACCACATTCCACTCAGCAGGTTCCTGTAATGCACAAGAGGGCTCTGTAAAAGAAAGATAAAAAAAAAAGAGATCTTACACAGTCAGAGATGGTAAGAGATGTGGAGAATAGCAACCAGAAGTAGTATCTAACCCAAAAAAGAAGAAATGGCTAAAGGATGGAGACAATGTGAGAAAAAGGTGTGAAGGATTGTCCACATGCCAGCCTGAACAATCTCCTACAACAGACAAAGCAAGTGGGCAGCAAAAACTGCATTAAGTGCTATATTTGATGTGAGGAAACTTTGAAGTGCAGGTGTGTATCCCCATCCAGTTAGGGTAATGGGAGAAAGATCACAGGTGGAAGAATTCCAAGTATTGAAGAGATGAGATCGGGAACCACAAAATGGAGCAGTGCAGGCCAAATAAAGATGAGAAATAGATGGGAGAGATATAGAAGTGAATGCACTCTCACCCTCAAGTGCCACAAAAAACTTGGGGAGGAAAGAATGATCAGGATAGAAAAGGGCATTGGAATGATGAAAAAGAATGTGTGAAGAATCAATGACATACCCATAAGAACCTTGACAACCACAGGCTAAAAAAAGGAGGAAACAGGTTTTAAGGGAGAGATGGTTTAAGAACAAGAAGCCAAAAGTTAAAAGGGCAGGAGGGTAAGAAAATGAAGAACAACATTCAGGTCCTAGTTGGGAAGGCAAGAAGGATGGGGAGGATGAAAGACGTGAGAGAAACAGTAAGGACCAGGAAGGAAAAAACTCAATGGTAGTGGAAGGACCAGAAAGTAATAGAGAGAGAGCTATCCAGTAACCAGCAATAGTCAATACCCACAATCCCTTGTTGAAAAGCCATATGAAGAATTCAGAGATGAGGAACAAGAGGTGGAGAAGGAATAATGCAGTGACCAATGCCAAAAAATGTGCCATTTTTTGGCTGATATACGAGGAGGATGGACAAAGAGAATGAGAAAGAAGACTACACACAAAGAGAGTCTAGAATGTCTTGCAAAGAACTGGACAAATATCATAAATGAAGTTGAAGTGACAATACGGTTGGAGAAAAGAATAAAGCTGAAGAAAAAGAAAGAGGAAGAGAAGGGCTGTAGCAGGATCAAGAGAGGAAACCACATTTGAGCCAGCCAATATGGTGCCACAAGAAGGACCCAACATGGAGTGTCTTGAATGAGGAAGTGAACACAAGGAGGAGACAAATATGAGGTACACATAGACATAGATGTTGGGCCAGTCCTGACTGAATGCATCCACCACCAGAGTTGATGGATGCAGAACAGAAGACCAGAAAATGCAAGCTTGTCATTGTTGAAAGTGGCAAAGAACTGCCCTAACCGAGTCAATACTAAATCACCAATACTACAAAATGTAAATGTTATTGTTTTAAGACTTAATGAACAGTAAAACTGCTATATATAATTTCCTAGATTATTGTAAGAATTAAAGTTTGAACATCTGAACCTAATGTTCACATAATGAATGATAGCGTTATATAAACATTTGAGCTCAATGCACACCTAAATATAAACTCAATTTTTACATAAAGAATGGTAACTCAAAGTAATATATTTTCTCAATTTAATTAAAAGCAATAACAATTTTCCAATTTTGTTGAATTTCTTTACCATCAAAACTTTCACAAATTTTAAAACTTTTCTGTTGAAAATACTGATGATGAAGTCACTAAGAAATCAGACTTGTATGGTTGTAATATTTCATACACAAATACTTTCAAAACAAAAATGTTTTGGTGATTTTGGCATCTAAAGAACAGCCTTTGCAATGTAACAGAAATAGTATATTTTTGATAAAATATTAACTGTAATCAAATGAAGGCTACTGCCTAAACAGAACTAACAAATATAAAAATATGCAAGACACAAGGTAAAGGGTAAAAAATGTGCCTTAGTAGGAACATGAGGGAACCCTCAATAGCTGTGGCTGTAATTAGATCTCAAATTGGGCAAGAGATGGAGCTATGAACTAAAAGTTTGTACTTAAAAAAAAAAACAAAAAACTCAGAGCCATTCTATGAGTCGCTATGCCTTGGCTAAAAGTACCATAAGTAGGACTCATACAATAGTACAGAAATATTGACTACAAGATTTAATTTCTACTGATAAGATTTACTAAAACAACTTAATTTAAAATCAGAAATGACTGTCACACCACAAAAGTCAATGGCTATAGTCAGAAATAAGATGAATTACATATAATATGGATATATATTTCAAAATATTAGCATATGAAGGGGAAACATATTAAAAGTGGCATTTTTAAATGAAAAAAAATGTAGTAACCAATCCAGTGTGGCATGCATTATTGTAGTGGTTGTTAAAACACATAATATGATATTTCTAAACTGCACGTTAACCTGTATGTTTTTAGATGTTTTACTTTACAACCCCAAGAGAATCTTTTTTCCTGGAAGTCTATAACCTGAAGATATTTTGAATTGAAATTATTATATACTCACACAATATACCTTATCAGCTGTGTTGTAAAATCACTTTGATTACCAAATCCAAAACTATTTTAGACAGTACAAACCCAACAGTTGTCATGGACGTCACTTAAGGGTTATTATAATGTTTTTTTCAGTTTCTGCACATTTTCCTTTCACAGGTAGGAAAGGAAAGAACATGTTAATCATTATAAGTAACTTTCATTTTATTTAAAAATAAGTTGCTTGAAAGAAATGTTAATTGTTTAATAAATATATATTATCATATCATGTGAAATATATTACTCTGAACACAGTACATTTTTAATCAGCATTCAAGTCAGAATCTATGTTCAAACATCTGAATTCAAAAATCGTGGTTATTTTTATATTTCTAGACATAATTCTTATGTACTTAAAATTGGTGCTTTATTTAGATGTCCAACTATAAGGCTTTAAGTTGAGTTTTTACCTTTTATTGAAATATTTCATTGCAATGGAAACCACAAAACGTAACATGATGTTTTCAAATACCTTTTTTTCTTGCCGTCTTCACCATCTCCTCGTATTCCTGTTTGTGACGCTGCTCTTCCAATGGATGTTTAGCTGGCAGATTTCTGTACCAAAATGTGTTATTAAATATTGACTTCATGGCACCATTCAAGAAATATATAAGAAGGATTCACAGAATTGGACATTGTTATGCAAAAGTGACTTAACTCGCAAATCATAGACTTGAGTAAATAACCAAAACATTTCTTTTTCTTAAAAAATCAGTGACAAATACCAGATATATGTTCCAGCTTTAATCTATGGAGATCACTATTATGTGGTTGAATGTAACGTTTTCATAACAGTAAACTATTCATCATTATTCAAAAAATGGACAATTAACGGCTTAGGTCATTTTTGCTTAACGCAACTCTCAACTTAACATTTCAGGTAAATGGAGTAAGGTTAGTCCTTCTCAATACAGAAATCCAGCTCTCCATCAAAGCTATCCACATTATCAATGATGTTCTCATCTTGAAGGTTCATTGTTGAATATACAAGACTGTTTAGTTTAATAATTATTATTTAGTTTTCATAACAAGTGTTAAAAGTTAACTATTTTAAAAGTAATAGTTACTACAAGTTTGTTATGTAATTCTGTACGAGTAATACATCATGTATGCAGTTTGATTGTTGTACTAGGCTTTAGTAATATTGTTCATGTCATCTTACTTGACGCTTCCAAGTTTTTCTAGTTATGTGTAATATTGTTGCTACAAGAGGGATAGATAGTTCTAGATTTTTCGGTTACATGTTATAAATATGTGCAGATACAGCCTGTTAAAGAAAATAGAAAAAAGTTAGTTAGTGAAAAAAAAACATGAAGTTAGCCGGCATGTAAGTGATTAGCCTTATCGGGTGACTTCTATAGTGTTTCACAGCTGTATTGTAACAACAGAGATAGGAAAAATAATTTGTCTTGTCAACTGGGTTTTAGAGTAACTGAACTAGCCTGTGTGGACTTTTGACAAAAAAAAAAAAAAAAGAGACAACTATTTAAAGTTCTGGATACAACTGTGGTAACCAACAAGTGATTAAGTTAGTGAAAGTGAAGTTAAACTGTATGATTGTTAGTTTATACATAACAGGCAATATTTAAAAAATGAGTTCCCAGTTAACAGAGATAAAGAGAAATTATCTGCATTGTCAAAGGGTGTTCTAAAGTAACTGAACTCATCCGTGTGGACTTTGAGGAAAAAAGAGACAATTCTTTAAAGGTACAGGTACAACTGTGGTAACTCATGGTGTAATGTAAGTGAATTTATCACAGATTGTATAGTAAGAAACAGAGCAGTGAAAAATAATTTGTCTTTTCAATTGAATTCTAAAGTAATTGAATCAGCCTGTGTGGACTTTTAACTAGAATCTCTAATTATTTAGAGTGTGAGATGCAACTGTGCTATCCTCTAGTGCAAAGCTGCTTCAAACACATTAAGAATTGTTTACAGCCAACTGTAAAGCTATTGCTTACCTTACTGAGCATATTATATTAGATGTTAGCTGTCCCATTAAGGTAAATATACTCATAAAATGTCAGTTTTCTAGCCAGATCGCTTAATAGTTACACAGATGTCAAACTTTGAAATGCTTTTACAACTCGTAATGTTAAATTGACCTTGCAATGCCTATTCATAGCTATGATATCTCTCTCTTTCTATATATATAAAAATGTGTGTATCTGTCTATAGGTAATCCATCATTAGATATATTCTGAAGGTACTGTATAAAAGTTGTTTGCAAGAATAGCACCACCTTACAACAATGATGTTTTGTAAGCTGTTAACAATATAACATATTATTGTCACTTGAATGAGAGTTATTTAAAGTAACAGCTTTCTTTCTAAGCATTGCAATCAGTTTATATGTGTTTAAGGACGTGACACAGTCCTTTAAGCCCCAATGAAACCGTAAGGAGTTAAACATATTGTTTTATAAGAAATAGTAGACCACGTTTTTATTTCTCCTAAATGTAGCTATAGGAAGAGAAAATCAGAAAATAAAAGAAATGGTTAACATCCCTGCCAGGGAAAGACATTATATAGTCAACATTTTCTAATGAAAATTGTCCTCATCAGGTCACAATGAATGATACTTGGTCAAAATGTTAATTATACAACGTATTCTGCCTCACAGCAACCTTAACCACTTTTTTGTATTTTCAGACCCGTGCTTACGGTGGCCGGTTCTCTAGGATCAGAGCAGTAGTTGAAGTGGCAGGTGAACATCCTTCATTTTTAAAGCCACTGGAAGGAGTTGGAGATGGACCTCTAGAAGATGTTCTGCTTGGTTCCCGAGATGTGTTTTCATCTAATTCTTTTGATCTCCATGATAACAGGTTTCTGCAGTGAAGGAAGTACTTATAGAAAAACTTTCGTATCTATACACAAACACATGGAACGTGTAAAAATGAATAACTCAAACTTCTCTTGTGGTATGTAAGGAATAGGTAGAAAAATAAGTACAAGAAAGATTACTGTAATGTCACACAAACAGAGCAATACCTAGTATTTTGCCAAAACATTTACACAAGATATTATAGAACACTGTTTTAGTGCTAGTAACATTGCTGCAACTAAATCTGAAAAAGTATTACCATGTTAATAGTTAATATAAAATAATGCTTTACAATTTTATAGAAATTGTGGATTGCACCTTTTGTAGATCACGTCATGTCAACACAATGTGCTAAAACTTAGTAGGCCATTAAAAAAAAAAACCAGTTTTTCAATATTTCAGGCTGACACCTCAAAGATTAACAACATTACATTTTCAGAATTTCTCAAATGTCTCTAAAGTATGTGGTAACACAAACAGTAAAATATAGGTTACCCATCATAAATTTTCATCATAATCTGATAAAAAAAAAACAGCCAACTCCAATTTTTTTCCACATATCCAAATCACAGCTAAAATTGCTAAAGTATCTGTGTCTATGTTTGAGCAAGGTTGGGCATTTGACTGATCAAAAAATGTTCATTAACCAGTAAAATAAGGGCAAACATTTTTATTTATTATTATTTTTAACTTTCTTCGCCATGACATGTTAAGTATGTACATGTACGCATTTCCAGGCGTGTGATAATGTGTTATTTCTTTAAACACAGAGTACATCTGAAGTGTAAAAGCTACAAAAAATTACTTTAAAAAAACTAACACTTCTGTAGCTATTAAGCAATCACAAAAATATGCATTTACCTTAAAAAATCTAAATTTGTTTTTTGGTACTGAAAGAATTATTTTAATAAGTATAGGTTTATCCATCAATCTAAATATCACAAAGATACAAATCCATACTTTTAACTAAAAATCAATGACATTCTATTCAAGTTAAAGAGTACAGGTAGATTGTTTAAAAATATAAGCTTTGTACTTGTTACCAGAACAACACATATACACTTACTTTGTATTGTGCATGTAATACCTACATAGGTTAGATTTGCCCCAAATAATTTACTAGGTATAACTGATTTCCAATTAAAAATTCTGAACAATGAACAATTACAGCATAGCTTATATTCATCCAAAAAAACTTACTAGCTATGACTGATTTCCAATTAAAAATCTGAACAATGAACAATTACAGCATAGCTTATATTCATCCAAAAAACTTACTAGCTATGACTGATTTCCAATTAAAAAATCTGAACAATGAACAACTACAGCATAGCTTATATCCATCCAAAAAACTTACCAGCTATGACTGATTTCCAATTAAAAAATCTGAACAATGAACAACTACAGCATAGCTTATATCCATACCAAAAAAACTTACCAGCTATGACTGATTTCCAATTAAAAAATCTGAACAATGAACAACTACAGCATAGCTTATATCCATCCAAAAAAACTTACCAGCTATGACTGATTTCCAATTAAAAAATCTGAACAATGAACAACTACAGCATAGCTTATATCCATCCAAAAAAACTTACCAGCTATGACTGATTTCCAATTAAAAAATCTGAACAATGAACAACTACAGCATAGCTTATATCCATCCAAAAAAACTTACCAGCTATGACTGATTTCCAATTAAAAAATCTGAACAATGAC